GAAAGTGTTTTTACACGATACCCATTTAGTGATTCACTCACTTCTATTGAAGTGTTTGGTTATATAACCAGGAGTTTAGACATGAAATATAAAACATCAATAATGATAATTTCCTGTCTCTTTGTAATAAATGTGGAGGTATCATTGGTGGAACAAGTACTCAGATGTTTTACTTAAGTAAAAGTAGCAATACTACTGTATATAGTAAAAATACTAGCAATAGTATTTGCATGAAAACATACATAATAAAAGTCCAACAAGTCCTCCAACTCATACGACCAAATAGGTCGATTGTTCAGCAGCTCATTACGACCTATAGTCACGTTTGAAAGTTTATCACCTCTAGTGGTCTCTAGAGCAGGGGTGCCCAACCTTTTTTGAACCGAGAGCTACTTTTAAAGTTGCCAGTCTGCCGAGATCTACCAGGCCAAATAGAGAGGCGTAGCCATTACTGATAGCCTACTACCAGGTAAATACACACTTCTACTTGTATAAAACTGACCTTTGTACGATTAATACTTCATAAAATACTGCAGATCCTTTATCTTACCTCTTTCTACTCTACACACATACAAGTATTTAACTGAAGTTACACAACAGTGTTGTTGATACAGAGTTGGAGTTTATTCACACGTCACATACTACAGTGGGTAATGTTTTCAAGAAACATTGAACAGTGCTGCCACATATGACACAGGAAAAAAAGAAAAGAAGAAGAAAAGAAAAAGAAAAGAAAAGACACTGAACCCTTTCTTTGCCATTATATAAAAATAGTGTTGCTTATTATACATCCATGCTGTTGACACGGACAACGTCAGCGAACTAGTGCACTGCCCACCAGCCACGCCCCGACACATGGGGTCACACCGGCCAATCACAAAGCTTGGATGCGTTCAAGTGCATTATTCTGGCACAGGAAGATTATGTTATAGGACATAATAAAACAGAATATTGTTGTTCTATTTTTAGACGCATCTCGCGATCGACTGGGAATCTGGTTGGGCACCCCTGCTCTAGAGGGTTATTTGTGAATATAGGACCCTCCGGAGCGTTTGCAATTGCCGCAAATTGTTGTTTCTTACACGACCACTAGAGGTGCTAAACTTTAAAACGTGACTATAGGTCGTAATAAGCTGCTGAACAATCGACCTATTTGGTCGTTTTTTGGAGGAGGACAGGCTGCAAAAGTCAAAGTACTTGGTACTCTAAATGGCTTATTTCAGAATCATAAATTACTATAATATTAATGTGTAAGTGTGTTTATCACAGCTGGCACATGTAGAGCTTGAATTGCTTTATATACTGCTGCTGGATATTAGAATTTATATGTCAAAATTGAATTAACAGATTTTATATTTTCATTTAGCTAATTATCCAAATCCAGAAGGTAATTAGTAATTAAAGCTTTTTTTTTACTGTGGTTAAAAGTATGTTGTTGGCTTCCAACATGTAGTGGAGAAGAAGAATAGAGGAGCATAAACTGAAAATACTCAGGTTAAATACAACTCAATATTGTACTTAAGTATAGTAGTTGAGTTACTATCCACCACTGGAGGTAACATTGTGTTGAAATCAATATACCAGTATTTAACCATGGTCAAAAAGATGAAAACTGTGTTGCATTGTTTCACAGGGAAGGCTAAAATGACTACATTACTCTTCCTGTTGAGACATGGTCATATAATGTAGGTTCAAAAGTAAAACAAATCCCATTCTCTACAAACTGAAGTGCTTCTCTGGACTCTCCTGAAGATTGGAGCTAACAGTTTAAAATATTTCACAATAAACAGTCTTTCGAGGTTGCACAAAAGAGTATACTCACATAAACTAAACACGCCAGAGGGTGGGCTTCCTGATAAACGGACAGTGCCTCAACACAGCTGCAGACACCTCCATGTATAAGGTGGGGAAAAGGCATTTATACTTATTAATATGTATAGCTTTTGCTTCCTCGTCCTCCCTGTGGAATACAAATCTGATAGCGTGTAGTGAGGTTAAGCGCCGAGTTATAAATCACACAGACAGTTTGGTGCTGTGAACATATGGCTGCTGTTACTCTCCTGCTGTGCCAAGAGGTTGTCATTCAATACCCTAGTATAAGATAATTGTCATATTCCAGGTGAACAAAACCTAAAGAAAAAACACATATACTGAAAATAAAATGGGACCCTCCTTCCATTTGCAAGTTTTGTAGTGTGCATATTATTCTAAATCCTTCAAAGATTAGTCTTCAAATAATTTAATTGAGAAACGAGTTGGAGAAAAGGTGCATTTCACCCACACGTCTTTTTTTTTGTGTTCATGAAAATAGCTGGAATCTTCATCTGACGTATACTAATACTCAAAAAGTAAAGGTCTTTTGGAACTGCCACTGAGTTGAAAACAATTATTTAATTGTATGGAAACACTTGGTTAAAACACTATATTGAAATTAAAGGAATACTTTACGACCAAAAATAATTCTTTTTGTATTCATGAGTCATGACTCATCGTGTGTTACCTTGAATTCTTGAAGATGATTTAAGAATTAAACCCTCCCACCCCAATCCCAGGACCTCTCAGGACCAATGACTGCAAACAAATACATCTGTTAAGATAGGCTAGATCCGTTTCTTAAATTTTTCAGCTGTCGACACCCATAAACCGATATTGGACTCCTTAACTCCAATCACGCGTGCAGTAGACGGTTCCATGTAGACTACGTCAAGAAACATTAGTAACCAGCAGGTCACTGAGAGCTTGTCGGGTTGTTTCCACCTCATAGCAACCAATTTCTTGGCAGCCGTAAGGCCAGCATAGAGAGGTCTTTTCTGGTACCCAGTAGCCGGCAGCTGAGATAAGTCATTTAAAAGAAAAACAGATACAGGTACAGTCAAAGAAAATATGTCGGACAACTTAGAGGAAACACCGTTCCAAAAGCGAGCAACAGGCGGGCATTCCCAGAACATATGGAGAAATGTACCAGGAGCCCCATGGAGCAGAGGGTACACCGAGCATCTGCCAGAAGACCCATCATATGCAGCCGCCTGGGTGTCAGGTAAGTTATATGCGCATAGTTCAGGTGGATTTGTTGGTGGTCGGGATTGCGAGACGCCTGACGAATGTTAGCCCAGACTGAATCCCAGTTCAAATCAGGTCTCAATTCTGGGACATCCTTCCTCCACAGTCTATCTAAGGGAAGGTCACCATAAGAGGACTCAAGTAGGTGAGTATAAAACATAGAGACAAAGCCCCTGGATGTTCTTCTATCAGTGATGAGTATGTGGAATGGATGCCGTGCTAGTTGTTGATCCCACGGGACCCCATAAGCCTTAAGGGCTGTCCTAAGCTGTAGATAAACAAAGAAAGAGGTGCCTAGAAGGTCATAACAGCCTTTAAGATCCTGAAAAGAGCGGAGACCACTGTCACTGTAAATATCTCCCAAGGTGTGAAGACCCTTCCTCCCCCATTGGGAATAATTAATAGGCCTCCACCCTATGAGTAATTGGTTGTTATTAAATATTGGCGAATTGAGATGCCAGGGGCATTGAATAGCGCATCATTTCTGTGCATTTCGCCAAGTCTGAATTACATGAGTAATCAGAGGGCCGAACCTAAGCTGACATTGTTTGATAGATATGTTTGTGTAAATTATGTCCTGAAGTCTCCGTGGGGAGACTAACTTCTCTTCTAAAGCCCGCCATGAAACCACAGCTTGGGGTCAAACCAATTAATCAAAGGTCTTAATGAAAAGGACCAGAAATACAATTTAAAATGTGGTACTGCCAGCCCCCCATCAAGCCTCCTTCGTTGAGTAGTGGACATTTTGAGTCTAGGCCGCTTGTTGTTCCAAATACATTTTGAAATTGCCGACTGTAGTTTCTGCCAATGACCATTGGGGGGGCGATAAAGGAAGCATTGAACTGATAAAATTAACTCTAGGCAGTATATTCATTTTAATTATTGAAGCTCTGGCTTGTAGTGAGTTGGGCTGGCTCGACCACCTATTGAGGTCCTGGAGAACCTTGTTGTACGTGTCTGTATAATTATTCTTTATAGTCTTGTTAAGGTTTGGGAATATTTCAATACCAACTTATTTTAAATGTTCTACCACAGGAATGTTTGCAGGGAGAATAGCTGATTTGGCAGCGTCGTTGAGAGGCAAAAAGGCAGACTTGGGCCAATTAATCTTAAAACCTGATAGGTTGCCAAATTCCTCTATTACACTAAGCAGACGTGTTGTAGACGTTGAGGGGTTCCGCATAAAAATCAGTACATCATCCGCATACAGGGCAATGTGATGAAGCGAGCCTTGGATAGAAATGGGGATAATATCCTGTGATTGTCTAATAAATTGGGCCAGTGGCTCGAGCGAGAGGGCGAAGAGCCCTGGTCTCAAGGGGCAGCCCTGTCTGGATGACCTTGCTACAGAAAAAAGCGACAAGATAGTTTTGCCTGTTAAAATCATTGCTGAAGGGGCAGAATAAAGTACTTTGATCATATGGATGAACCCCTTACCTAATCCCATAGACTCTAGAACAGCCCATAGGTATGACCATTCTAGCCTATCAAAAGCCTTCATACGTAGCATCCAGAGATAATACAGCCGCTGGTGTTTTATCATCTTTGCTAGCGTCAATGATGTGCAGCAATCGCCTGAGATTGTCCGAGGCTAGGCGACCTTTTATGAAACCGGTTTGGTCACAGTGAACTAGAGATGTCATAAAGTTCTGTAGGCGACGAGCCAGGACCTTTGAAATTTTTTTTTTTATTCTGCCTAATTTTATGCCCTTGATGTAATACGTTTACATTAATAATTGAATAAAGTAAACACCCTTTGCACCCCGGGCCGGCGGCAACATTTAGCAATTGCCCTGTACGATGGGCGCTGTAACTGTAACTGATGGTCGCTTATCTGGCACCCACGGGCCGCGACTCACAGCCAAAGTGACGCGGCAGCTCCAGCTGAAAGTGTCAGAGATTGCAACGATACAACAGCAAAAGGCAAACAATTAGCATTATGAAAAGGTCCAAGCCTTCAGGGGCAACGGGAAGGAAACGGAAAAAAGAACAGGAGGAATCGAAAGTCAAAGACAGAGGTACGTCGGCTTGTGTAAAAAAGAAAAAAGTCAGTATGTACTGTACCGTTAGACATTTGATTTTAAGCTAGCTAGCTAGCTAAGGAGGTAGCCTGCCCATGATACAGCTTTGATGCCATGCTAGCCGCGAGCCTCTGATACAGAATGATAAATACAAATGATTTAAAGTTTTTATTTATGTGTTATTATTCTTATTTAATCTTTTTGTAAATTATATACTACTTTTCTATTGTGATAGCTGTAAATTGATCCCCCAATAGTGTTTAATTTGTCAGATAGTTTGTTTTCACGGTCAACTTGTGTGTAGGCCTATATATATATATATATATATATATATATTTATATTTATTTTTCTGTTTATTTTCTATTATATTTTAGAATTTGTTTATTTTCTGCTCTTTTTTAATGTCTAATCATTGTGCAATGCTTTGTTTTATATGCTTCTGTAACGAAATAATGTGAATGTTAGCCAGAAGAAAGCTATCTGGATAACTGCTCTTTTGTATAAAGTGAGGCTGACCAACCAATATGGACATGTGTTATTATTTACATTACATGTCATTTGTTAGACGCTTTTATCCAAAGCGACTTACATACATTCAGTAATGTGGACAATCCCCACAGGAGCAATTTGGGGTGAAGTGTCTTGCCCAGGGACACAACGACATGCTGACTGCAGTGGGACTCGAACTTGCTACCCCCTGATTCAAAGTCCAGACCTAACTTTTATATAGGCCAGTTGTGAACTTGCATACAGCTGAGGCAGATTGCAGCAGTTATTTTTGCCTGACTGTATATACATGTTTTTGCTTGTAATGTGCTAATATCTACCCTATCATTTTCCAGCTGCACTTGAGAAATACCTCAAAAAGCCCCCAGTTGCTGGAGAAGGAACATCTGATCTCCCATGTACATCACACTCTGAAGAATGTAAGTTTTGCCAAACATTTATGGTCTCTGTGTAATCGTTAATACACTACTTTTTGTCATTATTATTATTGTTATTATTATGATAAATAATGAAAACTGAAGCATGAATAACTTCTTTGCATGTTTGGATTGCCTGCCTGCAGGTGAAGGAATAACGAGCACAGTATGTGAGTCCACCATTGCAGCCCCCTCAGATCCTGCTGACTGCCCAGGCCCATCTGAGTCCACCATTGCAGTCCCCTCAGATCCTGCTGACTGCCCAGGCCCATCTGAGTCCAACATTGCAGTCCCCTCAGATCCTGCTGACTGGCCAGCACTGAGTGATACAGTGAGAAAAGCCATGTGAACATCACATTGAAATCATGGTCTGATACCAGATGGGAGAGTCGGATCAACAGCATAGAGGCTGTAAGGTATCAGGCTGCAGAAGTCAGAGATGCACTTCTAGAGGTGAGGGATAAAGCCACAGATGGAGTTGTAAGAATTGAGGCACAATCTTTGGCTGAAGAGGTTGGATCATACCACTTTGCAATATGTACTGTGGTATGGTATGACATCCTGACCAACATCAAACATGTCAGCAAAATGTTGCAATCAGTGTCAATGCAGCTGGATATTGCTGTTGACCTCCTGAGAAAAACAGAAGTTTCTTTGGTCAGCTACAGAAGCAATGGATTTGCTTCTGCCCAAGCATCTGCCAAAAGACATCTGTGGCCAAATGAATGTGGAAGCTGTTCTCAAGCAGAAGAGGCTGAGAACAACCAAGAGACAGTTCTCCTATGAGTCCCCGGAGGAGCAAGTGAGTGATGCACTAAAGAAACTCGAAGTTTCTTTTTTCAATATGGTGGTGGATGTTTCCATTGCATCACTGCAGGAGAGATTCAAGGCCTTAGGTGAAGTAGAGGAAAAGTTTGGGGTGCTACTCAACTTCCCTGACCTGCCAAAGGAAGATCTGACAAAGCAGTGTGAAACACTCAGCAACACTCTGAGCTGGGGTGGACAGTCAGACCTGGATAAGAGGGAACTTGCACTGGGGATGCAGAATTTCCCAGCTTTGCCAAAAGCCAACATGACCACCCTGGAACTTCTGACTTTCCTACAGGAGAAGAAAATGAACGAAGTGTATCCAAATATGTGGGTGGCCCTCAGGATCGCTGTCACTATTCCAGTGACAGTTGCTGCTGGGGAGAGGAGCTTCTCCAAATTGAATCTCATTAAAACATACCTGAGGTCGTCAATGGCTCAAGAACGCCTCAATGGATTAGCTTTAATAAGCATCAATCGCAAGGTTTCGGGGCAAATATCATTTGACGATACAATAAATGAATTTGCAGCAAGGAAGTCCAGACGTGTCCGACTTTAAGGATGTGGACTAATTAAAGGACACAATAACATAGCAGAGATGTGTTGTTCTGATTGCCTGTTTCATTTGATTCATAGTGTGTGTAATGTTGTTCATTATCTTAATTTAATTGCAATAACCTCAGTTGTAAGAGCTCCGTTGGCTATATTTGTGTCCACGTTTGCACTTTCTTTTCTTAAAGTTTTAAGAGAAGCTACTTTTGTTTGATGAGTGATTTTGATTTAATAACTACAATATTAATAATAAGGATAAAATAAATAAATATGTTACATTTATTTGTTATTGGCTGTGGGTTATTGGTTATGTTCACATACTTATTTGGTTATTAAAATGTAAACCGATCTTTTTCATATGGGTGTTTTAGAGTTGTACCTCCTATCAGGTCTCTAGTAATTGTGTGCTCAAAGTGCACCAGATTGAAGCATTTTACTTTAAAATGTTAAAAAAATAATCTTTCCGGGGGGGGGGGCATACCCCCAGACCCCCCTAGAGGATGTGACATCCAACCCCCAATTAAAACATGTTCATACAATGAATACATTTGAAACCGTTATGTATATTACCTATGTCAATACGTTTCTGTTTTTGTAGTGTATTGGTCTTTTATAGAGATTTTTCATTTAGTCTTTATATATTCTATTGTGTATTGCTTGGAGGGGGGGGGGGGGGGGCACTAAATCATAATCTCGCCTAGGGCCGGCCCTGGCTTAAGGGCCTGTAGCTGATACAATCAGATGGATCTTTATCCTTTTTTAGAAGTAAAGAGATAAGAGCTGTATTAACATCTCTGGCAAAACTACTTTGTTCTATTGAAAATTCAAACATGGAAAGCAACAGCGGGCCCAAAAGGTCCCAGAAGGTCAAATAGCGCTCTGGGGGGATGCCATCCCACCCAGGCGCCTTACCCTTTTGCATGTCGAGGACCGCTGCTTTAAGTTCCTCCAAGGTAATAGCCTCAGCCAATTGTTTGGAATCATCCTCTGTTAAGCATGGTAATTCCAGCTCATTAAGAAAAGCCTCATATTTAGTTTTATCAAAAGTGATTTCAGGTCTATATAATTCAGAATAAAAGGATTGGAATGCATCATTAATCCGTTTAGGGTCGGTGGTTATCTCCCCTTGCTGGGTTTTGATAGAAGGGATGTCAGCGAAGTGTTCATCAGCACGAATTGTCATAGCCAGCAGGTGACTAGGCCTAGAGCCGTGGAAGTAATAGTGTTGTCTTGTGAAGTGTGTGAAGCGTTCAGATTAGCGTACACATTTTCTAATATTTCCAATTTGGAGAGTCGAGCCTTTCGCAGATTAGATGCAAATAGTGTTGAATTGCTCCTGATAAATCCCTTAATTGAGTCCCACAATATCCTAGGATCTTCGACAGATCCTACATTGAACTCTAAAAATTCGGTGAGTTTTGCCTTAAATTGTTTACAGAAATCATCATTTTTAAGCAAGTGTTAAATCGCCACCTAGGGGCCCGGGAAGAGAGTCTTCTTAGTGAGGCGGAGAGTAAGATGCCTTTGTGATCGGAGAGAGCTATTGGAAGCATGGAAACATCAGTGCTGTCAAAGAGATGGGATGAGGCGAACAAGTATACGATTCTAGAAAAGGTTGTATGTCTGGAGGAGAAGAAAGAAAAGTCTTTCGAAGAGGGGTTAATCAGGCGCCATTGGTCCACTAGCCCTGTTTCGTGAGCCCACGCACGCAGGGCGGAAGAAGCCCTCCTTTGGTCTGATGTCTCAGAGGCTCCTGATCTATCTATAGCTGGGTCCCATATAGTATTAAAATCGGCCCCTACTATAAACGAGTAGTCTGTCAACTCTAACATGGCGGCAGTGAGCACATTATAGAAATCTCCCTCAAATGAGTTAGGAGCATATGCTGAGACCAGCGCAATTTTCCTATTAGAACATTCAACTTTTGCGATAGTTATCCGGCCTGTTGTGTCTGCCCATACATCTAAAACTTTTATATTTAAATTGCGCTTAGCCACTATAGTCACTCCCCGGATGTTAGTACTTGCAGAAGAAGATGCTATGACATGATAGAATTTGTCAACCAGTCTGTGTGTTGCCCTCTTGTTTCTACCAGCCTTTTGGCCATTAGTGCATCAATGGTCAGCCAACATAATTAGGTGATCTTATTGTACGCTTCTAATTAAAACCGATGCCAAGGGCAAGTGACCATGCTAAGCAGCGTGCCCCTCTAAAGAAAGAGCACAAGTAAACCATAAAATATGTTACAATGGGTTATGGGATTTTAAGTAGCTTCACATTTATTTTCAACCCGGTATCACGGCAAGACGTGAACATGTGACGATTTACCATGCTGGGAGACGTGAAGATGTCACGGTTTCGTCCCCTTCAAACGTGACAGCTATACGGTATTGTTAACCCATGTTAACCAGTGGAGAAATAACCGGAAATACCAAGCAAATGCTACCCCGACGTAATGATTTAGTTTTTAATAGTCACACTCGATTACAGCGATTTTCTTGTTGCCCCAGCTGGTCGACACCTCTTTTAGCATAAACAAAGGCTACATTAATGTATTAAATCGATGTTAATCCATGTGTGTGGATGTGGAATTAACGGACGTGACGTTGTGCGATTGAGTTGCCAAGCAACAGCTTCGGTTCATGTTAATTTACAAACTATTCAACTACAACCGTAGTTATATTTAAAAACATGTTAGAAGGCCTCACGAAATACTTTAATGCACATTAAAATGTAAATGTGAAGGAATGTGTGTATAACAAAATACATTGGTCATTAAACGAAACCGGAAACAGACGTAGGCAAGATCCTCAGCTCGATGATTGGATGGTTATCCGCAATGCATGCTGGGATTTGGTGTTTATGTGATGTGAAATCTGAAAACGTTTTTTTAAAATACAATAATACTTTATTCCGAGTGTGCTTGCTTTTCTCTTTGAAAGTCATCACATAACGGCATTGTAATACACGGTTCGGCTGCATTAAATATTACATATTTGCCGTAATTCTCTATTTATAGAGCCCTGCTGAGAAGACTTCTAGACAAACAGGAGAACTGCCGCCAAAACTGAAGACGTGACATGGATCATAAATATATAAGCAATTAAACAGCATCTTACATTTCTTTTCACACAATGCGTCTCCTTGCAGTATCAACACTAATTCGGCAAACTTTTATATTTGATCCAATTGGTAGATAGGCTGTATTTACACCATAACCGTGCAGAGCTGATAGAAAGGGACACCTGGTGGTCAAAGCACGTTATTGAATTGTATTATTTCATTATTAGATATTAATAGGAGGATGTGCAAAACAGACAAACTAATAAGGCTTAATTTAAACATTAAAGAGTACTTTCGGTTAAGGTCTTATTTTGAATAAGAAAAAAGCTTTAAGAAGAATATGGAGGGATGAAACCCTCTTGAAACCGCAGGTCCTTCCTTCAGCGGTCAGACTTTACAACCAGCACTGCCCTAGTAGACCCTCCTACACACACCACAACACAGACTATAACACCCCTTGCTGCTAAATACAAACCAACTTTGTGCTATATGTGCAATATATATATGCCATTAATAACTGTGTAATGTATACCTGGCCACTAAATCAATATATATGCCGTTTTGTTTTTGATCTGTATTTTTGAAAATGATGTAACTTTTTATCTTTTTTTTAGCATATTGTTTATTATATTATAACTTAGTACTTTTTAGCATATTGTTTATTTTATTCTAACTTAGTACTTTTTTAACGCATGTAAGATATGCAACACTAAGCTGTCTGTGGCTCTTTCCTGCTGTAACGCTGCACATTTCCCCTCTGTGGAACTAATAAAGGTATTCTGATTCTGATTCTTTAATGGTCACACATGCAGAGCACACAGCACACACAGTGACATTTGTATCTACAGATAAATATTAAGCCTGACAAAGTACTTAACGTCTAATATATTGCTTTCCTGCAATGTTAACTATGTTTAAGCACTTATTTGTTTATTATTTGTTTATTATTAAACTGATATTATACATATGTATTATACTCTTATAAGATGTATGTAGATAGTATAAGAAATGTGCAGAATGACAGT